ATTCTGTGACAAATGCTTAGAATAATGTCATGTGAGCACTGCCCTTCGATACGATTTTTCTTCATCGTGGGTTAGTGCTTGGCTTGTCTACCCACCAAATACAGAGAATATCGAAGGAGAAGAGATCGTGGGAAGCCACAAATTGATCACTACTCCAAGATTCATATATTTTATTCCTCTGAGAGTTCATCCTTTGACTGATGGAATTGTTTATGCAAAGTATGATTGAATCCACTCAATCTGAGGTGTGACATGCTAAATAAATATGTGAACACGACGTTGCAGGAATGTTTCCCCAGGAAAAGAAAATTATTTTGTAACCAACATTCCAAGTCTTCTGTGGATGAACCAACACAAGATTCAAGAAAGCTGTGGCCTGGCCTGGCCTGGAAAAAGCATTTTGAGACTTTTCGTCACTTCTTATCATGACCATAGATGGGAGGGACCCAGTAAAATGATAACAGAGAAGCAGCAGACCACCAAATCAAACACTCATACACATGTTCTTACTGATGATGATAAATCTCTTGGAGAGTGTTATAGTAATGGTGATCATAAGCCTAGTTCGTGATCTTTTTGAACATTCACCAAAAGTGATGGTCTACTTACTGACTTAGAAGACCTCTAGAGGCATATTAAGTACAGGGTTCTTCCTACAAATCAACTTCTTGTTTTCTCCATTTTGGGCAATTAACTTTGAAGGTACAGAAGCCATTAATCAACTGATTTGTCAATATAAAACCATGTAATTTCCAGAATATTAAGTCCTTCGAGCCTCATTCTTCCATCAAGATAAGAGTTGGTCCTCCTCTAGCTCTTATATCATGACACCACCCTGTGCAAATACATCCCTTGACTAGGTAGTGTAGAAGCCATCAATCAACTGATTTGTCAATATACAACCATGTAATTTCCAGAATATTGAGTCCTTCGAGCCACATTCTTCCATCAAGATAAGAGGTGGTCCTCCTCTAGCTCTTATATCATGACACCACCCTGTGCAAACACATCCCTCCACTAAGTGCCATTCTGAAGGATTTGCCAACAGGCTATCACCTCCTGTCATCCACTTTCTGTCATTTGAATCCAAGATTTCCATAGAATCTTAGCAATTGATCTCCTCTGTAAAGCAAAAGAGCAACATACTGTGGAGAAGAGCTTGCAAGCACCAAAAGTTTATGCGAGGGAAAGGCTTCAAACTGATTGCAAAGCACAGAATTCTGGATTTCAAATAACAAAAGAAAGGTAAGTGATAATTCCTTTTCCCCAACGGCATGCTTTTTTCGATTGCCATGCCTGTTACTTTTTGTGTCCTGAAAAGAAGCAGCAGAAGCATCATGTTAGCCTTTGCCTTCGAAATTAGCAAACTGAGTTCTATGAATCTGCTCTAAGATATAGAAAACAAAAGCAAGCCACTTACCACAGCAGAAGCAGCAGTGCTGCTTCTCAACCTGTTGTGTTATCTAGCTTTTATGTAACTGGTTCCAATCAGTGTGGTGGATTCCTGGTTCCCATGAGCAAGGCCTTGCAAGAATAGCTTGGTGAGTTCTATCTGTTTCTTCTAGGATTTGTCAGTCTGCACAACACTGCATAGATCATTTTCATCTAAACTCCCTACAAATGAGTTTGTTCTTTTCTTTGTTGATTACAAGAGAACAGTTTTCCAAGATCTTTAGCATTACCTGTTGTTTCAAATACGGACCATCATCAACAACCAAACACTAAATACCGAGAGCTATTTTCCTTTTATTACCACCATATCTTGTACTTTGATTGCAGGTTTGGCAAATTGGAGTCACTGGAATTCTCTCCATGGATAGTTCCTCAGTGTCTGATGATAACTCGGAGCTGGATTTCCATCCCTCCTCAGATCGGTTGACAAGATCAAACACAGATATGGGATGCTCCACCCCTGGATGCAATTCGATCGACTACAGCCGCACAATCTCCACAGTCTCAACCTACTCTGAGGTCAACGATGAGAACAGCAGCCCATATGATCCCCCTCCGGTTGGATGGCCAATCTCTAAGCTTGTCGGACGGGCATCACCTGATTTAAGCAAACATGGAAGAAAGAAGACTGATGATATGCTCGACTGGAAACCAGGATCTCAAGATATATCACTTTCAGGTAAGTGTACCATATACCATGAATTAGAAGTAGCAACCGTTCCATGCCATACCTTGTTCTGATTTTTCTGTTACCACCAGAGCTTGAGATGATGAAGGAGAAGTTCTCAAAGCTGTTGTTGGGTGAAGACATGTCAGGAGGTGGCAAAGGAGTTTGTTCAGCTGTAGCACTTTCAAATGCCATTACCAACCTCTATGGTAATGATTTACTCACTGCAGTGTCAAATCTTCTTCTCTGTTGTCTCTGAGCCTTCAGATAAAGATCTTATCTGCAGCTTTCTAATTTAGCATTTCCTCATATCACAGCTACTGTATTTGGCCACTTCTATAAATTAGAGCCTGTGTCACCTGAAAAGAAGAACATGTGGAGGAGAGAGATGGATTGCCTTTTGTCGGTCTGTGATTACATAGTTGAATTTTTTCCTTCTTCTCAAACCTTGCCAGATGGGACTACTCTTGATGTGAGGATCATTTACCATAAGCAGATCAGTTATCAATTTTCACTGCTAATTTTGCTTTATTTCTGATATAATTTTCTTACCTTTCCAGATCATGGCAACAAGACCAAGATCAGATATCTACTTGAACCTTCCTGCACTTGAAAAGCTAGATGCCATGCTTCTTGTAAGTTTCTGTCACCAATTTTGGTTTTTGATATTTTTCAACAAGGAATCAATTAACATGAGAAGCTTCAATCACTGAAAACAGAAACCTTAAAACATGGATAGAAATTCAGACAACATAAGACTAAGAGGAAGAATGCGAGAGATTAGCTTGTTGAAAGCTGGTATGATCATGCAGGACATACTGAACAGCTTTAAGAAAACAGAATTCTGGTATGTTGAAGAAGGCAAACAATCACCAAGTGCCTCCTCAAGGTCCTTCCGTCGGGTAGTTCAAAGAAAAGATGAAAAATGGTGGCTGCCTGTCCCATGTGTTCCTGACTCTGGCCTGTCCGAGGAAGCACAGAGGGCATTGCAGAAAAGGCGTGATTGTGCAAATCAAATCCACAAAGCAGCCATGGCCATCAACAATAGCATACTAGCTGAAATGGAAGTCCCAGAGTCATACATGGCATCCCTTCCAAAGGTAAGGTGATCCTTTCAAATTTGCAAATTCACATCTGCATCTAAGAAATACTAAGTGGATTCTATTGTGAAGATGTAGAGTCTCCAACACCTGCTAACCTTATTACCATTAAGCGCTGGAAGAAAGATTCCCTACCTGCACAAAAACAAAGATTCGAAGAAAGTCACAGAAACACATATTTCTTTCATGTTTCATTTCAAATTTGCAAATTCACATCTGCATCTAAGAAATATTAACTGGATTGTATTATGAAGATGTAGAGTCTTAACACCTGCTAACCTTGTTACCATTAAGTACTGGAAGAAAGATCCCCTCCCTGCACGTAAACAAAGATTAGAAGAAAGTCACAGAAACACATATTTCTTTCATGTTTCCTTTCAAATTAGCAAAATCACCTCTGCGTCTAAGAGATATTAAGTAGATTTGTATCATGAAGATGTAGAGTCTCAACACCTGCTAAACTCATCACCATTATGTGCTGGAAGAAAGATCCCCTCCCTGCATGAAACAAAGATTAAAAGAAAGTCACAGAAACAAATATTTCTTTCATGTTTCCTTATTAAGATTCAAGAAAAATAGACCCTCTTGACAGATCGTGATGGAGATGAAACATGCACCTGAATAGGCAGTAAGACCAAAGTTTGGTTCGTCAGTTAATGCTGATGGATATCTGGTTTTCATTCTTCAGAGTGGCAGATTAGGTGTAGGAGATTCAATCTACCGCTACATGTCAACAATAGAGCCCTTCTCTCCAGATCATCTTCTTGATGGCCTCAATATATCTTCAGAACATGATGCACTTGAGATAGCAGACCGTGTGGAGGCTTCAATGCATGTATGGTGGCGAAAGGCAAGCATGCATACTTCCAAGTCATCATGGGATATGGTCAAGGATCTGGTGGCTGATGAAAACAAAAATCAGATACTTGCATCTAAAGCAGAGACTCTCCTGCTATGTTTGAAACAAAGATACCCTGGCCTGTCACAGACAACTCTAGATACCAGCAAAATCCAGTACAATAAGGTAAGGACTTGAGGCTCATCAAATTTATTTCATCTAATAATGTTCACAGTTCGCATCAGTATCATAGTAGCTGTTGGTACAAAATGTGGCTAGCATCATCTTATATATAACTTAACTCATAATCATCAACCCAAACACATTGTGCACAATAAGCATTAAGATTACTATGTTTTGCTTTTCTTGCAGGATGTTGGACAAGCAATTCTTGAGAGTTACTCAAGGGTACTGGAAGGTTTAGCATTCAACATTGTTGCATGGATCGATGACGTTCTTTTTGTGGATGCATCTGTTAGAAAACGGTTAAGAGCAACTCAACAACGAAGTCAAAAAGAGAGTCTTCTTTAATACTTTGGCTATTCATTGACTTAATAGATGTAGTACTGACCATAGAAGTAAAGGATTTCTTTGACCCTGAAACACCATAACTTGTAATGGTATAATCATTTGTTGTCTGAGCGACAACATTCAAAGAACTATTATTTTCATTTTGAAGCTTTGTATCCTATGACTAAATTCAGTATCCAAGTAGGATTAAAATGTATCTCAGTTTATGTGCCTTGTACAGCATGTCTCTGGTTGCAAACACAATGGAAGCACATTGAACTGGAGTATGAATTTTAGTTCTGGGAACTAAGGTTCAAAATTATAAAAATCATACTCCTGATTCATTTATGACTATTAAAGTTATCCATTTAAAGGAAAATAATCGAACATGAACCAAAAACCAAAAATAATCATAGCAATTCAGGGGACAATGTGGCCTCTTTCATTAAATTGTATGTAAATTGCCTAAATTAACCACAAATCAAGATTCCCATTTTAAAACTTGCTGAAAATGGATACTAATATGTTCAAAACTATCACACCACTATTACTAATAAGTTCCACACAGACATACAAAACATTTATCTTAATATAACTGCAGAAATGGCCCTAGATATAAAATGTATTTGGACAAAGTTTCTACATTCGGAAAAAGGCAACAAATTGAACTGCACAATGGCCTTAGATATTCAATACAACAAACCTCGGGTATCTTCAATCTCAAACATCCCTAGTAGGCTCTCAACTCTGAAGCTCATCTTCTTGCTAACCTGAGCAGGACTCACTGTTTCTGCCATTTTTAAAGAGCTTAGGACTCTAATTCTCTCTCTACTTCTGTTGTAATTTCTCTTTTTGATGGTTAATGATTAGTGCTCTTTCTTTTTCTAAAAAAAAAAAAGAACATTAAGCATAATTTTAGTAACCAAAATTAGGAACAAAATCCTTTTTTTTCAGAAAGAGAAAACTATATTAGCGTTTCAAAAGTCTACAAAAGGACTTATTAAGGTCACTACAAAAAATGGATGTAAGATCCGAAGGAAACTGCTCCTTCCAAAACATGTCATTCTCCAGCGTGCATGACATAAGCAGGCATACGACCATAAGTGTGCCTTAAAGCAAAGAGCTTTTTGTCCAGTGTGCATGCCTGCAATATTTGCGAAGCAAATGAATGTGGCAGCCAGTGATGCAGCATAACTCTTTTCCACACAATGAACATGTTAATTTACGTTTGTTGAGGTCTGTTTTAGGTCAACATAAATCAGAGGGTGCTCCTATCAGAATGAGGGTCACAACCACATGCAGGGGTGCAATTTCAGAGACTGAATGAATCCCGGGACATTGAACGCATTTGCTGCTTAGTGTTTTCTTTTGACTCTTTTCTTGATTGATTGCCAGCCCATGACGCATAAAAAAGGAAATTGGTGCCTATTCAGCTAAAGAAAACTAACAAAACAAGACAAACAACTCAAAATGCAGTCCAACTCAAGAAAGGAGGTCGCTTTGCTCCAGGAAAATCTCAGACTACAAACAAACCGATGCGAAACGAATTCCCAGAGAAAACAACATCTAAATTCCACACTAAGCACATCAACCAGAAGGCCCAGAACACAAACCAGCTTAAAAAATCACTTCAATTAACCTCCAATTCCGGTGCATAAAACCCAGCCCAGCGTCGAAAATATTCAATAACAGGAAAGCTAAGGACAACGACGAATAGAACGAGAGCCTCACCCGGTTTAGAACAAGAATCCCTTTTACTATTCGCCATCGCGCGGGGGATAAACCCAAAGAACCAGAGCCAAAACTTCAGCAGCTCAGAAAACCTAAACTCGACGGAAAACGAATTCAATATATCGACTTCAAAAGTGTTTTTATGTTTTCCGAAGAGACGCCATCCTTTTCGAGTGTAGTTTGGCATTGTTGTCAAATACAGAAACGAGGTGTTTTCCATTTCTGTTCATGGTCACCTAATAATTAAGAAACTTTAGAAATAAAAATTCGAAAAAGAAAATAATTAAAAACAATTGCGAGGATTATTCACATAAAACAAACAACATTTTTAGGGGTTGTGGGCTTAGCTGGGGAAATTTGCTGAAAGTGATTTGTTTCAATGATTAGCAAATAATGGAACTAGTTATATTGTACTTCTCATTTATAAGTTCTTTAAATCGATCTATATTTCCATTAATGATATTATTTTGAAGCTTGAGGAAGATTTGATGGTGGATGAACTTTCATGGAGTGGAAGTTTGCCCTCTTTTCCAAGCCCCACAAGTTGCATGGGATTTGACGGCAATGCAGAAAACATCACATTCCATAGCCTTGAATTGGATGTACCAAAACATCTGAATGCATCAGACAGTGGTAAATTTGCCTCTTAGAATGTCCAACTTATATTAGCTGTTAAACCTTTCTACTGACTAGTGGTACTTGGAGGCCTTGTATCTTACTTTGTCTTTTAATTTCAGGCACTGAGACTTGGAATCCAGTAGTACCTGCGTCTCTTTGTAGGCAAGCAAGTGAAGGAGAAGATCTGAGCTTGTGGTTACAGGAAGACATCTTGGTGAAGTGATATAATGTCAGGTGTTCTGTTCTAATGGCCCTAATATTAAGAGGCCATTAGAGACGTTAATACAGTTGGTTGTACAGGGGCAGCCCTATCAGGCAATGCCTTTTAGTGTTTGCACTTGGAGGTACAGTGGTGCCAAGAACATCTGCATGGAGGCAACCCACACCAAACATCTGTGCCTGGAGGTGGAAGGATACAAGAATTCATCTGTCTCCTTAGGCAAGAATTATACTATCATTTGCATTTTAGCTAGCAATAATCTGGTGTTAATTGGGAGTAATTGTTCATTGATGCATTATCTGATAACTTTGCAAGTACTTGGATGAAACAAAGAAAGAGGTATAATTATGGCAACTGACTAATTCCCATAGTATAAAAACACAGGCTTTTAAAAGAGGTATAATTAGTCAGAAAGAAAGAATATTAAGAATGATGCAAGAGTTGTGAAGAAAGAATATAAAGAGAGCACATCTGATCCAGGCACAAATTTTACACCAGTGCTTTTCAATTTGTGATCCTTTCCAAAACAAAAAGCACATATCAACTCATAATTTGCGATAAATGTATGTTTCTAAACCAATATACAGCTGGCACTGGTGTTCTTGGAGGAAATCTTAGGTAATAACTCCAACTCCAGGTATTTCCAGATTATTGCCAATGGTATTACTTACAAAAGTAATTACAGACACTTCAACTCCTTTCAATCTTCACAACAATCTGCATTAAAAGAAGAACCTAGAAGTACAAATAACTATGAGGTGGCTATGTGTGAACCTCTAACTGACATGGGTGAAAAACACCCGAGTCTTTGCTAGAGATCCTAGAGGTCTTCCAATCAGATTCCAGTAACAACTTTAACTGCATACATTTGTGTGTACTATAAAAAGATGAAATGCCCAAAGAACCTGGAGTTCAAAACCACATGTCGTAAACAGTTTCTTCGATTAGATCATCTAAGATGGAATCGCATATCTCACACGTCATGTTCTTGGTTTCAGATTGGAGGTTCATCCAACTTCTATGCTCCAAATCTTTATTTATTATTTGATCTAATGTGTTCTGGAACTGCAAATGAAGATGCCGATCAACACCCTTATAAACTTCTTGAATTAAGCTTTCCCCCAGAGGAGCAGGCAGAAAATTTCGCTTGATAAAAGATAGCCTTGGGGTATAACTTGAAAACTTCTCTTGTATCTCGACAAGGACTTCATTGATGCAATCAAAGAGAAGCTTAGAATTGTCTTGCGGGAAGAAAGAAAAGATCTCCACTCCATCAAACAAAGATGGTTCGAGTAAATGGTCTGTTACATCCCATCTCTCTAAGAGTTCGTTCATCAGGCCTGAGGCTCCCAAGACAACTCTTATATAATCATACATAGCTTGATTGACATGAAGACGATCTCTGTCCTTCACATCTGGCAAGGTTATAATTCTCAAATAATTGTCACTGTCTTCATAACTAACTCGTCGATTTTGTTTTTGCATGACATCTGCAGATGGGCAAGAAATTCAAGTTAATCCAAAAGGATAAACCAAAGATGTGTGAACAAATCTCTTAATACTTCTCAATATCTGTCAGATCATACAGTGTTCTAGTTTAGAGGACTCGGGGCTGGTAATATCTTCCGACAAGAATGTGTCAAGAATGGATACTGAATTTGGTTGATCTGGTTTTTCAGTGGTGCTTTCAGAATCTGATGAATTTTCTCCAACAAAGGAACTTGGCAGGGTTAGTGACCTCTCTTCAGATGAACCCTAGTAAAATGATGGTATAATTTTAAAGAATCAACATTTTTAATTGAAGGTGGTGTTATAATGTATTTTATTAAACTCCTTGCTTACCATTTCTTGTAATGTATAAGACTCTTCTTCTTCTTCACATATTTTACTTACAACAATTGGCTCATTTGTCTCCAATGGTACATCCAACTGCTTAATGTTCGCAATGCTCTTGGTAGCAGCTGCTCCCAGGATCTCTCTGCTTCCTGTAAAGCAATTTGATAAACAATAAATTTCATATTATAAAATTGCACAAAACCTATCCTCAGTGGATCTCATTTAAATATATGGAAAAGCTTTCCAGGAAAACTACCTTTGTTGTTCAAGTCTTCTCCAATGTATGATACGTCCTGCATATTGGTATCAATGAGATCTGCATTTAAGACAACGAACTGTAAAACATCAGTTGGTATGCTCAGAGAGCAAGATGAAAAATCCAACTTTGCTCTTGACTGGCCTAAAGTATTGGCAGCACTTTCTTGCTTCAAGTGTTGTAAGGAGGAATCTCCTGTCTCCTCAGGTGGCATAGCGAGCTCATTGTCTCTTTGAGGATTGGATATAGGACATAATTCATTGAATCTTGAGAGAGAAAGTACTCTCTCCAAAGATTCTAAAACTTGGACCTTAGGCAAACTGTCTACTTTGGTGTCTAGCATCTCAGCAAGATGCTTCTTGGCTTCTTCATATATCAAAGACTGTGATCTCGAGGAAGAAACACAACTGTTGATTTTAACTTTACATTGTTCTGAATTGTTTTTCTCATCTTTTCTCTTGTCAATGGAATAACATCCAGATAGCTTTGTAATATCAAAAGAAGAACTGCTTGCTGAGCCCGATATCGTTGTTTCACTATTCATCATTTTACATGTAGCAACAGGAATTTTGTGAAGAATACCATCCATAGATATTATGTGTCGTGATTTTTTGCTCTCACCAATTATACGCCGGAGTCTTCTTTTGATTTCTTGAAGGGAAAAATGAAATCTGTCTTTATCATGCATTGGAACATCATGAGATTGAGTTGAAGTGCTTGTACTTATAACAGAACAATTTTGATTTCGTACTGCATATGGCTTCAGATCAACAATTCTGTTTAAACCATTGGAACTTGGACTTTCGTTGGATGTTCCCATTGACTTGACTTTCTTCCAGGAAAAACTGTATTTTTTCTGTTTGTGGAACAATTGATTTCTGTTTGATTCTTTGCATTTCCCTTTACTATGATCCTGTTCCCCTGATGACTGAACATTCTCTAAACATTTATCTGATTCCAGTTTGGATACTTTCCCTACCTGAGTAATGTGAAGACATTGTATATGTTTAAGCAAAAGTGATTCTGGATCTTCAAGAAGCTTCAGAAACAACTCCTTATCTGAATTCAAGGTGTATAATGCATTGATGAATTCTTTGGAATGGATAATGCATCGTCCATCAAGTTGGTTTTCAACCATTGACTTCTGACTTATAATGGCCTGCGCAACATCTGCTAGTGTCTTTTGAAAGAAAGAGATCTTTTGATCAAGATGATCATCAAGTTCATCAAGATGGCTATCAATCTTTTGACCAATACTTCCTGAGGCAGGAAGAAAGTAAAACTTTTTTTTCGATTCTGCATGAATTTCTTGACATGTATAACTGTATAACTCTATCAAAAATGAAGCAAGGTCAAAGTTGAGCAAAGATTTTTCAGTTAGATCCATACTATCAGACTGATGACCAACAAAGCCAGGAGAATCAGCCAGATTGTTCATCTGAGCATCTGAAATTACCTTCAATTTCTCGCTTCTCTTAGAATTTTTCTCAGGATGGAACTCATTTTGCAATTTAGATGTTACTCTTTGTGCTTCTTCATTTGTAATCTTCTTTTGGGGACGTTGAAACATCTCTTCCTCCATATGTACTTTCACACTCATTTTACCCAAATCAACCTGATCTTCTCTGATTTCATCAACAAGCTGAAAAATATTGGTTTCATGGATAATTGTCTTCAATCTTGGTTTCTCTAAAATTAACATTTGAAATCTTGAAAAAAATAATGTAGCATCCAGTACTCAAAAAATTCATTTCTCTAAGTTATTATCACAATTACTTGCAAAGATTCTTGGCAGTCGATACTCAAAAGGTTTGTTGTAGAAACTTAACGAGATTAATGTCTCATTTTCTGGAGAAGGTCTTATAGAAACAACACATTGAGCTTCATAAGAGATTCTTCATTTGCTTTCCAATGATTTCTAGTATATTTTTAAGTACAAAGGGAAATATTGTAAAGTTTTATAAACAATGAAGAGATTGAATAAAGAATATTAATCTCATTAGGTTGATTCAAATTGGTGAGATCAACATTATTTTTATGCTTCAAGGCTCAAGCAATTGCCAGCTCCTTTATGAACTGAAAGTATCTTCTTCGGAAATTTCCTAAATCTAGCTTTTCACCAAGTTTTTCCAAAATATGTCATTCAGATTCCATTTTTGGTGCTATTTAAATGATTTCTCCTTGTCATAATCTTTACGAGTATATACATACTTCATGAGATTATTAGTCTATTATTTTCCCAAAATTTTCCAGAATATGTCAACCAAAATGTATTTTGAGAATTTAACCACTAGATACGCTTTGCAGTTCCTATTAAAATGAAAAAGATAACTGATTAGACATATTTACCAAGTTTTTATATATTCCTTATAGACAACCAGATTTAGTAAAACATCATTTATTTAATCGCTCATGGAGTATCTAATAGATGGCATAACTAATGAAAATTTTAATATATGATTAATTATTAACTTAAAAAGATATGAAAGGGAAGCTAAAAGGTTTTATGTTGCAAGGTTTGACGTTCCGAAGCATACCACTCAGTATGGGTAGTACATACCGGTTTGATAGAAGATTGATATGGGCGGTACATCGATACATCCCAATGTACCATATGTCAGTATGCTCGGTATAACTTGGTACGTACCATACCAACAGCTGGTCGGTACACCGGTACAGATTGGTAATGCGAACCATGATATGTGGTAGGAAAAACTAGACCCGATCAACTGCAGTATCTTGTATGATGTCAAATCAAAATAAACAAGTGAAAAATGATGGAAAAAAATGAACAATAAGGATATTTAACATATCTTAGTAGTAATTGGCATGGAATGTTATATTATCTGAAGAAAAAAAGAAAATCCTTAACGAGTTTCTTCATTAGAAGAGGAGAATCTTCTGTTGTGGGATAATTCCTTAAAGTTAGTATGCAATTTCAAATGGTACCGCCCGATACGGGTAGTACGTACCGGTCCGATGGCATACCGGTACGCGGGCTGCCCACTACCGGACGGACCTATAGTAGTGCTACAGTGCTACAGTAAGAGAAAATTGCTCGGTAAGCCCTGGTGTACCGTTTGGTACGCTCTGGTGTACCGCTCGGTACGTCGATATCGTATCGTACCGAGCCAACCTCAAAACACCGGTACAGTACAGTATTGCATACCTTACCTTAAATATCATCTTTTTGTGATACATGATGTAATCATAACTTGGATATAACACCAGAAAAAGTCACACCTATAAAATGTTAAGAATCTCTTGGTTATGTGGTTCAAGAAATTGTCATATAAAGATATTAAAATGAAATTGATGGCTGAAGTAGGCAATTGCCTTCTTTTCATCAAGCTAAAAGACTGAAAACTTCTAATTGTATCTTGTCCCAACTTATTCGATACTTGGTAAGTGACAGTCCCACATCGACCCTTTGGTAGCAGGCAGCTAAGAGCCTGATCCATACCCTCACCATATTGTATCAGAGAACATGGTTTGATTTGGACAAGTTGTGGCGGAGTCCCATAATTAAGACAAATGATATAAAACTGGTTTTCTGACACAACAGCTGCTACCTTCTATCCCATGTATTTAGAGCAAAAACCAAATAAGAAGTATGATAACTAACTTCCAAGTTTGCATAATAGAATTGATAGCATGTGCTATGTGGTTAATGAAAACTTCAAGGTGGTCTGAGCAATCACATGGAATGCTCACATAGGGAACCATGATCAAATTCCTGATGCACTGGTCACTATCTTTGGATGCATTTAAATGTTGTGATCAAGTTCTTACAATTGCACAAGGGAAGTTGCTAAATACCAATTTGTGAGTGAGTTGATGGTCCAACATGAAGAAGTTGGGGATGGTAAAAAACTACTATATACATGAAGGACATGAAGATTCGATGGCTTAAGTTTGTGACAAATAATGTCCTTATGTGAGTGAGCCTTTGCTAGCAGGCTAACAAGAGATCAAACAAAAGCAAACAAACCGAACAGAATTAAAATGACAAATGAAGGGATCACCAATGCAATTAGGACAGACTGATTCTCGTTTGGTCAGCAAGCAGATCTAATATACAAATATGGGTAACAATGAAGTCATACACAGAAAGTCTCTTCAAATCCATCGGAGAGCATGCATTTAGTCTCCATTTGTAGTCATTTTCTGTTCCAAATATAGTTCTACAACTTCTTCCAACCCAATCCTTGATTTGGCTTAGTACAAATTGTGCTAGGTAAAGCATCAAAGTAAAAGGATTGAAAGGTTCCCTCAATAAGAGAAAGGATAGAAGGTTGTAGCACAAACATTATTGCCCAATCTTATTAAAGTGAATTGTATCTAGCTATACACTGAATTGAACACCTATACCTGACTAAGTAATATTGCTTCAATTTTCAGACCTTAATTATAGACAAAAATTACCCTACAGAATTTGTAACATCCCCTGGATTTTGCATGACAAAACAATAAATAAATTATAAATTGTCAGAAAAGTATCACGAAGTAAGCTTAGTTTAAAGATAAGTGCCGTCCACAATTTCTATAGAATGACAAATTTACTGAACTTACACTGCCTTTGTGTCTATTCTGGAAATTTCTAAGTGAATCAAGTTTGATTTTCGAATATCCACTGCCTGCACAAGATAAAATAACAGTTATAACTTCCTAAATTTTAATAATATAATAATGTCTTGGAAATCAAACAATTTTATCTGCATCTTGTACAAATAAATATATATGAGTGGAGACCTTAATTTTTATTATTGCTCAACAATGTAGAATCATGTAACAGTAACAGAGCCTGTGTCCCTGAGAACTTAAAATTTATCACATGGTGAGTCAGAACCTTTTCTAGAGGCACAACATAGAGCAATTATTTGTAAATGCAAGCATTGTTGCACTACCAAAACAAGAAAAGAATTCAGATAAATTATTACAAGGCATTGACTAACTAATAAACAGTATATAATTCGAACTTTCGAAGATTCTTGAGAGCTTAGAAAATAACATATTCTGTTAACAAAGCTGTCTTAAAAAGAAAATTATTACCAGCATTTCTGATGTTCCCATGTTTCTTATCTGAAAGGAACTTTTGAGCTATCAAACCCCACATACATCCAACATTGTCCCTTCGAGATTGTGATTGTCTTCTATAGGATGTTTTTGTCATAATTGAAGTCCTGATTTTGCTCAAAGAAGATGGCCCTCTAACATTGAGGAACTAAATGAATGAGTCTGAAAGAAATAAAAGAATGAGATTGAACAGATTTTGCAACAAAGAAATTAGTGAAATAAATGCATATGAAGCAACCATTAGTTCGAAAAAAATATTGATGGACTCAAAGCTCATGTCAGGTCAAGAGTCAAAATATTATTGACTTTCAGAAATAACAAGGTGAACCTATATTTACTAACCTAATAACTGAAAATATTAGCAAGCGTTCTCCTAATATGAGAAAACCAAAGAATTTTCACATCTTTGTGAGTCAATACTGCTATCTTGAAGAAGTATTTGGAATGTTCATAATGTTCTATTCAGTGAATACAAACCATGCATTCCTTTTGATAGTTAATGACAAAAGCTGGTTATACTACATAACCTTCATTCTGAGATGAGCTTCCAATCTTAGACTAGTGTTATAACTCATCAAAAAACACAAACTAACACAATTGCTATAATTAAAAGAAAAAGTACCTCAAATTAAGCACCAACTCCAAATTGGGCAGAACTGTCAGGATGGCAAGTCTGAAAGGAGATGAAAGCTCACAATTTCCAGTTTCTAAATTTCACCCCTTCAGAACTTCCAGAGTTGTCGAATATGATCTGTTTTAGTTCTCCTGCTGAAGAAAGGAATAAGATCTTGCCCTACCGACGTGCCAAGCTCCACATGTCAGCCCTGTAAGCCAAATTCCTTTTATTCTGGAAAGGACCCGTGAGTCAAAACTGTAAAGTAAAGCAATTGAAACCTCAATCAGGTTATTTCCAGTTGAAAAATATTTCAGTTTGGAGCTTTTGCAGAAAAGAAAACTGCATATTGTACTAGAGATCCAATCTAACCCAAAGTGAATCTCTACGTCAGAGAACGACATATGTAAATTGTTGGAACAAAGTTTCTTTTCTCCTCCAACTGTTAAAATTCAAGAAATTTTAACATGGGATAGGTTGAAAGCAGGCAAAGTTGCCATCTTTTCCCGGCTCAAAAAACCAAGTTAAAGAATACACGAACGAGGATCAAAATTCGCCTCTTTCCAGCTCTGTAGCTGATAAAAGCGTCATCCTTGTGCTTCTTCCGCGATTCCTCTACAATCGAGATGCCGAGGAAAGTGTAAAGAACCTAAACAAGTGCTTCACGGCCAACACTTCATGGCGACCCGCGGCACCGCCATAAGAAGCGTGGGAGGAGGGGTGGCGGAGCGTTCTGGGAAGATACAAGGAAAGAAAAGCGGAAAGCGTTTCTCTCATTGGAGGAATCGTCCGGGTCGTGGAAAAGGTGGCAAAGCATCCATCATCATTCCCGTTTCCGTTCCTTTTTAATGGGCTAATTAAATATTTTTTTAATTAATTATTTTTAAAAATTATATTAAGATCTTTATATTTATAAAAATAAAATATTTTATTTTATTTTTCTTAATACTATCGGCTTTATAGATAAAAATATTATAAAATTTACTATTGAGCACGTATTGACTCTGCCTCGTTTCAATTTATTATCTCATATTTAATTATAAAAAATAATATGTAATTAGTCTCACTTTCTCTACAATTAATATATTTAGAGTTGGATTAGTATTATTATCATTTCCATTGAGTCCGAAGTTTTCTTTTCCTCCACAAACTTGTCTACGATATTATTTTTTCATAAACTCTATTATTAATATTTAAATTATTTTGTTAATAGTCTAAATTTGTATATCACGCTACTTCTTTAAATAATTCTTTGGTGAGATTAAGAAGCACCAACTACTCTGCATTAAAATTTTTCTACCATCGAAACTTATGAAAAGGAATCATTTGTTATATTGAATGAGGACGAAATGGATATCGAAGATTTTGTTGCTTTGGTCATTAATTTTTGGCAGTCTGTTCCTTCCATGATTATTTTTGTCATCTATGTCTCTTTCTAAATATGTCTTTCAACGAGGCAAGATTATATTAAATCAGATAAATGATGCATACAGGATTAAAAAGGAAATAGAAAGAAACAAATAAAGAAAGAAAGAAAGAAACGAGTTGACTATTCTCACCACTCGCGCAAAGAAACATGCACATACAGATTTCTATCGATGGTCGCCATGTTATAGCAATTAAGATAATTTAAGACAATGATGACAAACCAATAGTAGACCTGTTTTACTTTTTGGTAAGTAATGTTTATCACAATTGTGTAATATAAGCATAGCTTGTGCACATGAATCATTATAAGTGAGGGAATTTTGCATGTAAAGACATAGTAGAACAAGTAAAATGATCATCAGTCATGATTGCATAGATGATAGTATAATTAGAAAAGGTAAGACAATTAGTCTTAATAGTGGGAGCAGAAGTAGAGAGACATATAAAAAAACTGTAATAAAATTTAAATTCTTTAATTTGTAGGTATCTGATTGATATAGCCAATCTTAAATAGTGGGGACAAAAAACATCTTTTTCAAAGTATAGTGGATTTCTCAAAAGAACAAAATAGAGCTGCTGTCCATGAAGAAACGAAGGTGTTGCAAAGAGTTGGACCAACATGAGCTGCTGACGCTGATTTGACCTAATCCATGGGGGTGCACCCTTAGAGGGTTGCAAAAGCCTACCCCAGCCTTGCAAGTGCCCAAGTGCAAGTCAGTCATGAATGGGAGATTTGGGAGGTTAGCATCTCACTGTATTAAGAATCACTATCAATCAATCAGATGTTGCTACTTGTCTATAGGGAACGTTTCACCATCTTGTTTGTACGTCGAGATACTGTGATGTAATGGCCGTAGAGATTATGACAATGGTTGAAGTTTGGAGGTTACCTACCCTATTGTTTGTAGCATTTGATTATATATCTGCGTTGGATTTATGTTTCAGATTAGGTTAACAGAAGTGTGTCTTCTTGCTTGCAGGCAATTTAAAATAAATCCAAAGATTGAAGCCATATCAAGTTTCATGATGCTTAAACACAGTAAAGATCGCTAGTCCTCATCATCTCTTTCGATTAGGCCTTCCCCACCATGTATATCAGCTTACAAGATCAACCAAGCAAATATGTCACCTACCCCAGCCTTTTTTAGACAAAGTTAAGTGACTATCGATATTATTTCTCTCTGATGGGAGCAAGTATGTATGGATCAATAATATAAACTTCTACAATTATCTATATAATTTATCGTAGGAGTAGATCCAACTAATTAATCATTTTGAAGCATTTATCGAACATATATTTATAAGCATAAAAATTATAATGATATTATTATTATATAAAAAAATTAATATCAAGAACTAAAATCAAATAATGATAGATCAAGATGAGAATTATATACCTTTTGATGTTATTCAGAAAATCTTTATCTGTTCTACAAACATACCATCATCCGATTTGAAAGCTATAGCGATATTAATCGACAAGAACTAAATTTGTCTTCTCCTCTCTCCCTATCTCACAGGACTATTATAAGCGATGGAATAAGAACTTAGATTAAGAATAGATCTTACATCATGTGTTGTCTCTAAAAGGTCATATCTATTTATAGGTGAGAAGAAATGGTTTAGGATAAAAAAGTATGGGAATTCCTCTCATTAATGTCATCTCCCGAGAAATCCTACGATAATCAGACTTTCTTTATATTAGTTATCAAAATTTATAATATATCTTACATAATTAAATAGCATCACATAATCTAATATTCTCCCACTTGGTCATTAATTCGTAAGATATAAAAATTTTAAAATTAAAATAAATAAAATAAAATTTTATTTAAAAATAATTTTACCTAATTAGATTTTAAAATTTTTTAAAGTATTCTATATATTACATTGAATTTTAAAATAAACTAATAAGTCTAATAAATATAATAATACAATATTAAGTCTATTTGCAATATGAGTCATAATGATTATATATCATCAATGTTATACTTCTTTCTATGTACCATAATACCATTAATTTTTTTAAGTAGTCTATAATGACTCATATAATTTATTTTGTCATGATCCTATTATCACATTTAACTATAATATATATATAAATAAATATATATCTAAATAGGATAGTGAAAATAAAAAAATAATTAAATAAATAAATAAATAAATAAATAATATTACTTAAATATGCATCAGTATATTTTTATGAGTTGCTTATAAATCTCATTCTAAGAATATATTACTTAAATGCTTTATATTGCAAGGCTTTAGTCAATACATCAAGAATCATCAATGTTAAGGTTACATTTATTATTTCTAAACTCTTTTAAAGTATTTTATCTCATTATACTCAAAACCATTAGAGTCTTTATCATTCTTAAGAAGCTATAATATTATCACAAAATATCTTCAATTGATTAATAATTAAATCAGCCACACTAAGTCTTTGTTAGGATCTTAATGACACTAGGGAGGTAATGAATTAGTATTACAGTAAATTTTAATTGACTTTGGATCTTGATCATAAAATTTATATTAGAAATATGATTAACCAAATATTGAGTGTGAATAAAGGTTGTGATTAAAGTGAATAATAAGTAATCATAAACAAAAGTCATAAGTAAAATAAGGAATACAAACCAATTTATAGTGGTTCAGTTTTTTCGACCTATATCTACTCTCGATTCCTCTTCTCTCGAGGCCATCAGCTTTCACTACTGATATTCTTTCTAATGGATGAAGATCAATTATCCTTATTAAAACCTTTTTATTTATTACAAGCTTAGGAAAAAACCTTCATTCTCACTCTTGTACAAGAGATCTCTGACCTCCTATAACTTGGTATCACAACTAAATTCAATGAAGAAAAAGAGACTCAAATAATACTCAAGAGCTATAATACTTCACAAACATCGGAATAGATGCCATATCAACTAAGCTTAAGTGGGATATTTATAGGCATCAAAAAGCATCATGAATGGAGCAAAAAATTCAAATCTATAAAAATTTTGGGATATTGGCAATATTACTACTAACACTGGGTGGTACTACGATAGTAACTTTTGACATCATAATTATGGACTCTAGTAATACTACTATTATAAAATTTGAATTCTGGATGATATAACTACCTTCTTTGGTGGTACTACCACTACTATAAGTGATACTACTATTGGAAAGGTTAACAAAGCAGTACTTATCGATTGATTTAGATAATACTACCACTTAGGCCTGATGGTACCACCATATAGGCCTAATTTAGGCCACCTATTTGACCTTCTAATAGGCATAATTCGACCCTACTTCAAGTCTAATAGTTTTCATGACAAGTGAGTATTGTTTCAACTTAATATCAACTTAAATTAACTCAAACTAGCCTTGATTAAGACCTCAACAATTCAACCACACCTCCGTTACCTTTATCACCTTTATGAAGCTTTTTGGCACATTATTCACTATTACACCATATTGTTTGATTTTCTAATATTCTGTCTAAACCTTCGTCATATCACAATTTCCTTTGACATATCGCTCATTCCAGTGGTATGTCAATTTTCCCATAACATTTGATCTTCTAGTGCAATATTTAATCCTTCCAAATACGATATCTGAACCTTTAGCATGAAGTCTAATATCCAACACGTTGACCAATCCTCTAACTCAACATTCAATTTTTGATGTGATAATTTTTGTAGCACAATGTCCAACTCTTCTACTTCAAAAGTTGACCATTCAATGGTTCAAGTCTATGATCAAAGTATTTTCTATATTACTTATCTCAAATTTATATCAGTCCAATAAACTCATCAATTTGTTTCATTATCAAAATCTAAAATTCAATAGTCTTGAAATAAAATTTCACAACTATAAAGTTTGATTTACAGCCTCAAAGTATACCATAGATTCAACTTCCATTATTGATTATATAATAAATGATTGCTTTGCACTTTTTCAAGAAATTGCTCCTCTAGCTAACAAAAATATGAATCTTTAAGTAGACTTCCTACTATTAAGATAATATACAAAATCAACATCTAAATATCTCATTTCTTCAAGCTAATATGATCTCCTATATATGAATATATAGTTTTTCATTTCTTTAGATATCTCATCACTTTCTTTATTTCTTTCTAGCTTTCTAATATTTCATTCTTGGGTTAATCTATATCTATCCAATATTCCAACTACAAAATTGATATATGATATTGTATAAGTTTAAGTATATAATATACTTCTAACCACGTATGCATAAGGAATATTTTTCATTTGATTTATTTCTAAGTCATTTTTTATATACCGGTTTTGATTGAATATTTCACCTTCGGTAATATGTGTATTATTAGTTAAGCAAAACTATATACTAAATCTCTTCAA